GAAAAGGGGGGGGGGACTTAGGGGGAGAAATAGGGGAGGGGGGAGTTAGAGGGAGAATATTGCACAACCTGTCCAAGACAACCATTAATTATCGATGAGAAATGGGGTCGTCTTGTAAAGGGTCATTATGGTAAAGGCAAAAAAACTGCAAAACGGTAAGGGGGTGGAAAGTGGTCGTCTTGTACAGGTGGTCGTCTTGTACAGGTGGTCGTTAAAGCAGATTCTATTGTAAAGTCGAACCTGTCCAAGACCCACTGCCATTCACAAGAGGAAATCTGGTCATCTTAAACAGGTCCTGTAAATGCCAAGGATTAAACACCAAAAGAGGAAGGGAGAAAAGGAAGATAGGTGTTTGTTTGGAAAGAAGGAGCAAACCACAGCAGAGCACCTGCCAACCACCCATGACAGATGTTTGACAGGAAAGAAGGAGCATACCCAAAGAGGTTATATTTAATACAAGAGTCCGTGGCAGTGACGTCACCCACGTAAACGAAAAGGGGCTGTGCGTGTTCTCACACTGGGACACTAATACGGGGTGCCCTCTACGGCTGGATCGGGCCGATCGCCCGACTCGATCGCCTGAAACTGAAAACAAACACGTTTGTTTCTGAGGCGATCGAGTCGGGGGATCGGCCGATCCCATCCGTAGTGGGCACACCGTATTAGCGTTGAGAGCAAGACATGTGCAGTTTAACAGACGGGTGAGTACTTTTCGAGACTCACGTGAAGACGTCTCGGCGGTCTTAAGCCAAAATCTACAAGCTTGCACTGAAATGTGTTGGCACGGTAATGCTTAATTAATATACTAGATCTCGTGGGGAGTAGGGTGGGGGCTCAGTTTGTTCATGTAAATGGGGGCGTGCCGGCCATGCTGATGAGGGAAAGAAGCCCCCCCATGTCGGACACACGTGACGTCACTGCTGCGAGCTCTAGTACTATTATATATAACCTCTTTGGAGCAAACCGCGCCAAAGCAACGGCCAACCACCCACAACAGATGTTTGACAGGAAAGAAGGAGCAAACCCCACCAGAGCACGCGCCAACCACCCATTTAATAGGAAAGAAGGAGCAAACACTGGGCCCCCAGATGTAATCGGGAGGCCAAGAGCAAACCCCACCAGAGCACCCGCCAGCCACCCACGATTTCGATGGCGAGCCGTAGATCTAGGGTTGACTTACCGCGGATGCGTAAAACGGGTGTGTAGGTAGGAAGTAGCGTATAGATGTGTTCTGTTGGTCTATGTCACATCGCAGGGGGGCATGCCACCTCACCTGGTGAGGAGAGAGAGAGTGAGGGGGAGGGAGATAAGGACGATAGATGTTTGATAAGAAAGAAGAAGCTAAATACATTCACAAACACAAACACTCGCGCGCACACACACACACACACACACACACACACACACACACACATACACACG